GCTAGTTTACTCTCATCACTGAAGTGCAAGTCAGAGAGCAATAAAACGGCAACCTCACTGATTCAAAAGGGAGAGCTAAAGCGCCACTAACTGTGAATCTAACCTTTCGTAATGGCTCTCCCCTTAAAAGGGGAAACATGAAGTGCAAGGCAGCTAAAACAAACAATATTTAATGCTGACTACAAGATTTATTGCAGCCCTCTTTGCATGAGTATTAAATTGGAATTTCAGGGCTGTAAACTGAGGAAGAGGAGAGGGACAGACAGCGCAGATGGAGTCGCGGCCCCACGCAGCAACTTCCCCACGCCACCGGCGCCACGGGCACTGTGGGCACCGAACACAGCAGGGCATCCACAGCCAAAAGGTGCGGGTAGCGACGCGGGGGATGGCCCGCCAGAGCTGACTGAGCAGAGACCTGACCCCAAAAGGGCAAATGGACCCTGAGCAGCGCAGGGACGTGACAAGTGCAAGCTGCATTCCTGATGCGAGGGAGATGGATGCGCAGGCGTGTGTGAGCATCCTCTCCTGGGGAGCCCAGCACTGGAACTGGTGCTGGACAGCCCCAGGGAGCAGCCCCAGGCCCCGCAGCCATGTACGGCATCGGCTGCGGAAACACGGAGCTGCCCAGCCCCTCACACCGCCCTGTGCCGCTGCGGGATGTGCAAAGCACGCGCAGAGTCATCATGGCCCTTAACCATGAGCCGGGGCCACCAGGAAACGAGAGACCTTGTGCTGCTCGAGAGGGTACGGGGTGAGGCTGCCCATCAGGCAACAGAGGACTGCAGCAGGGGCAGAGGAGGGATGGGGAGCAGTTTGTCCTGATCAAACCCATCCAGCTGGGTGGCCCCCAAAAGGGGTCTCACTGGGCGGAGGCACTGTTTAGCACATGTCCATTGTAAGAGGGAAATCAAGCGGAAATAAAGGTTATTCTCAAAATGCTGGTGCTCTTCCCCAAAGGAGCCACTGGGGGCTGTCGCATGACTTCTCCCCATCTCTCAAGCCCCGAGCATGAGGGCAGCTCCAGCCCACAGCTGAGTCAGGGTCCCCTCGCCCGACTGGGCTCATCACTGTCCGTCGGTGTCACGAACAGACGCAATGATCAGTAAAGAGCTGCAGAACAGCCTGTCTCTACACGTGCCGCACATCTCCACCTGCTCTTTTATTCATTCCATAAACTGCAGGAAATCACGACTTGCAATGTGAGCCAAATTTTCCAACGGGTCTGTGCACTTTGCCTGTCCCAGAGGGGCTCCTCCTGCGCTGTCAGGTCAGGGTGCGGGAGCGCAGCCGGGCACCGTGGAGGCACACAGCCGAACACCATGACTGCCTCCTTGTTAGTGCCTCCTAAGTGACTGTTCCCATGGCCAGCACTTAGAGAGGGGTGCGACCGGTACTTCCAACAGTGTCCCGGGCTGGCGGTGTGCGTGCACGAAGCAAGCAAATAAAGGAGACAAATCTCGCACCTTGTCTACACACAGATCAATAGAAAACACACCGAAGTCACATCACAAAGTGAAAGAGAAATTATTGCATAACAAATTTCTTTCCGGCTCTCTGGGGAAAATAAAGACTGACAGCTTTGGGTTTAACAGGTGCTGCTAGAAGATGAGCTACTTATTAATACTGCTAGGAAGGAAAAGGATGATAAAAACTATAATGTGATTAATTATTTATGTTTACGAGCATGATTTTTAAGAGTTACAGTTTGTCATGCAAATCGCTTGGTCTGGTTCGACTCGACACATCGCAGCCCAGAACGTGCCTGAGGGCTCTTCACAACACGTGCAGCAATTACCACGCCACTAACGGGGCAGCAGACCCACAGTCCAGACGACGGTGTGCCGCCCCGGCCCTAAGCCTCCACCTTGCTTCCGCAGCAAGCGTTTCACTGTCAGTGACAAACACAGCGGCAGCATTTTCAGAGGGGGAAGAGACTGAAACAGAAGTTTCTCATAAGTGTAAAAGCTAGGAAAACTCTTGCAGCCGTTCTCCGCCTGGTGCGACTCCCTTTGCAGGCACACCGAAGGCGGAGTGGTGGAGGTGAGAGCCCTGGTCCCTGCGGTGGTCCCTGGTCCCCCTCCAGCTCGGAGGCGCTGCTGGTCCCCGCGGAGATGATGGCTCCCTCCGGTCCCGCAGCGGCCCGCGCGTGCAGAGCGCGGCGACCAACACCTCAGCCCGGGGGTCCCGCGCTGCAGAGCC